GGTTCTTTATAAAATTTAGACAATTTTGAGCTTTATCTAGGCTTTGAAAATATCCAAATTTTTTTTTTTGGTGGGCACAATTTTGGTTATTACAGCAGTTGAATCAATTTGAGCTCATTTCATGTTTCAGGCACTTTTAGAGAAGAAGAGCTTGGTTCTGTTTGTATCGATGCCAAAAAGATTAAGTCATAGCAACTTCAACCTCTACTTTTTCACATAACTCCCGACTGGAAGAAGGCGTAGCAATTGCAGCAGATTGGACTAATTGAGGGTTTCTTTCGACTTTCTTTCCCATCCAAAACTACAAACTGGTTTATGAATCAGGCAATCAGGCAAGTGATAATATGAGCATGGCTTTTGACGGAATCAAAACTACAAACTGGTTTATGAATGTGGATGCCACAAAAGTTGAGAATGGTGAGCAGCTCGTGGCTGCTGACAAGAAGGAGACTGCCATTGATTCAGTACTTGTAGATGAGCACGGCAAAAACGAGATTGCTATTGATTCCAATGATCGGGAACTCGAACAAGCTTTGGAAACCAAGGTAGCTGAGAAGAAAACAAAGAAGAGGAAGCTCAAGAGTTTGGATGGAAAAAAAAGCCGAAAAAGCCTCAATTAGTCTCGAAATTAGTCTCGATCAATCTGCTGCAGTTGCTACGACTTCTTCGAGTCGCGAGTTATGTGAAAAAGTAGAGGTTGAAGTTGCTATGACTCAATATTTTGCAGTTTTACCTAGAGATAAATTAGATGATACTCTTGAAGTCTGTGTTTCATGTGATTTCTCGATGTCTTAGAGATGGAATACCTCTACCCGTGTTCAACAATCTGGTTAATTTATCTTGCGGGAGTAAGAATAAACGAAGTTGGAAACTGCTGTCCTATCTGCTTAAGCAGTGTCCAAAACTTGAAACTCTAATCATCTAGGTATATTCAATATGTAAAACCGATAGAAATATAAAGACGATCCATTTTGGTGGTTGATCATTTACATACATCTTCTTGATTGATGCTTCTTCAGGATCTGTTTGGTTTCACAAGTGATTTCAACATTCCTCTGAACCAAGTGAAGTTGAACAATCTGGTAAGTTTGTCTTTTGGGAGTAAGAATATACGATGTTGGAAACTGCTGCCATATCTGCTTAATCAGTCTACAAAGCTTGAAACTCTAATCATCAAGGTATATTCAATAATCAAAACCGATGAACCAACAATATATATATACGAACTTAGTGGTTGATCATCTTCTTGATTGATGCTTCTCAGGAGAAGGATGGTTACACAACCGATGTCTACACTCCTCTGCACCAAGTGAAGGTGTTGCATATACTTGGTTATCAAGGAACTGCTCAAGAATTGAAACGCTTAAAGAGTTTTCTTAGGGGAAGAAACTGCGTCGAACTTGTTCGAGTGGAGATTGCGCAAGTTGTTGTGGTGGATGATGGCAAGATATTGCAAACTCTTGGAGTTTCAGTTTCATCCAAGTGCAAGACCGAAGTCGCATTTTCCCAACATAATCCAATATTCCCACACAATGTTCAAATCTGTAGAGGTTCCTAATATGCAATTCGAAAACAGAGTTGTGAGATAGTAAAATATTTTTGTCTAAAGAAACCTTTTGTGAGTTTTTCTTGAAAAGAGTTTGCTCCACATGGAACAATTTTAAAGGAATTTGTGAATGTTTTTTTTTTTGGTTCTTTCAATTTTATACATTATTAGAGCATGATTATAAGTAGTAAATATGATTGGGGTAATTTATAAATTTTATAATATTAATTGT